ACCCAGAATATGCTGAATTTATAATCGGTTCCAGAACCGACTCGGAGTCGCTCTTTTCGAACCGTCCCCATCCCTAACCATAATACATAATTTCTCAATGATTATTCAACCATTGATCGTAAATCTCGTGGAAAAAAAAAGGCAGAGAGAGAAAAAAAAAAAAAGAATTAGAATTAAATTATCATCATTCGAAAAAATATATATATAAATATATATATATATTAAAAAAAAATCCTCTTTTACCGTGTGTATGTATACTTACAGTACTATCAATGCTTTCATTCATATTTTAATATTTTAATATTTTCATTTTGTAAATGTAGTCTGGGTATTTCGAACAAAATGCTCAAAAATACATGAAACATCAACTTATGAATTCATCTGAGAAGCCTGGCGAAGCGCACTCCTGTAGACAACCGAGGTTTCATCATAATTGCCAAAAGATCGAATATAGGTTAACCATGAACAAGTTTCATGAGAATACAACCAGTTTAGTTATTTTGCAATGAGCAAACTTGGCGTCAAAATCTCATTCTAAGAGTAAGGACATACAATATGTCCTCACCCATGTCAAGGGTTAGGGTGGGTACAGTTCTCAACTTAGGACAAGGCACCTTATTCATTTGACCTGATATTTCGTACAGACTCTTATTAGCGTGCAAAAGAAAAAACTCCACTTATGAATCACCCTTAGAAGCCTGGCGAAGCGTACTCCTGTAGACAACCGCGGGGTCATCAATTTGACCAACTTGGATGCTGTAGTGTTTGACCCTTGTTAAATTCCTTATGAGCATACAACCAGTTTAATTATTTTGCAATGAGCAAACTTGGCGTCGAAATCGCATTCTAAAAGTAAGGACACACAATGTATGACCTCGCTTGTGGTCCAGAAAGGACCGAGGGTTAGGGTACAACAGTACTCAAACTTAACAAGGCACCGTTGCATTTTGGCATGAAGTAGTCTTTTGCAAAGAACAGAACGTTTGAAATATCATAAACTACGTTATTTAACCATAAATTACGCGTATTACGCGTATTACGTTTGATCAACTTCTAACGTTATTGTAAATTTACTACACCCTACGTGATTTTTTGGCCGAAATTAATCCACGTGACAAATAAGGTGACAAATAGGATTTTTCACTCCCGAAAAAATCCAGATGGCAAATTATTTGAGGTCACGTGGGTGAAAAACTTGGTGGGAAGAATTATTGAAAGGTTACTATACTATGTAAGAACTTTATTAAATTTTTATAAATTTTATACAAATCAAAATCTTTAAAAAAAAATTAATGTAATAAACAAGAAATTAAATAATAATGTAAACGATTTAAGCTATATAGTTAGTTATTCGGAATTTTAAATTAAATCATCACTAGAAGTATCATTAGAAGGGTGAAAACCTTTTTTTGGTTGACCAGCATGATATCCCCATAAATGTTGCGTTTCTTCTAAATGTCTTAATGCTTTAGGGAATACATCCGTGATTGCGTTAGTTCCCCACCAGCAATCTAAATGACCATATTTATCAATTTCATAATGTGTATAATTATCGATACCGTTTGTCGTTCGTAACATATCATAACTCTTTTTCGTCGCCGTCAAATCAAACCTGTGAGAAAGTAAAACCAATTAATATATATATAAGTGCGTGTGTGTGTGAATTAAAACATTTTATACTTACACCGAGTTCAATTCTCCGTGAATTAAACAAATTGGGAAATTCAATCTATTACTAATATTTTCTTTTGTGATATAGACATTTTGACCCTGATAATTTAAGATCATTTTCTTTTGTCCCATATTATTTAGATGTTGCATCGTAGTAAGGTTCACGTTTCCGAAAAATTCATGTTGATGATCGTGAACTTGTTGGTTAAGATTTTCATGTTGATATAATGTACCATAACATAAAGACGCTCTATGACACAACGCGCTACGACAAGTTTGATTCCTTGGTACTGGGTAAAAACGTAATAACTGATTAACAACTTTGTTGAGTAAATTGGTATCTGGAGACGTTCTTACATCAAATGTTGTTTGACGTAATACATGTCTCCATAATGGAAGTATTTGTAAATGCAACTTGACACTATTCCAAAAACTAAGTATTGGGTGCATTGCAACTTGAGAACCAATAAGGCATCCTACCCCTTCGATCTTTCCATCTAGTAATCCCATAAATGTCGATATCGATCCCACGCAATGAGCGATTACACCAATTTTCTCAACACCAGTAGCTTCCCGAACTTTACTGACGGCAGCGGCGAGATCTAATCTAATACCATCTAAAGTATGTTGTTCTTTAGATGCTGAATTTTTTGGCGATAAACGATGATCAACTAAAAATACATCATATCCATGTCCCAAAAGATAATCCAAGAAGCTATTCTTTATTAAATTTGTTGACCACATTTCATGTGTCATAGCGGCTCCATGTATTAAAAGGAGTGGACCTTTTCTTCCACCTTGGTATCTGACCATTGTACTTTTAACACCATCTTCGGCATTGATTTCCCACACGTCTTTTTTCGGTCTACTTTGATGATAAAATGGTTTTGCGATTGGAAAGGTTCTGCTTGGATATTCTAAAGGAAGAAATCTGGAAAATACGTGTCTTAACACAGTCGTTGCAAAGAAATCATTGAATGTAAACATGGCCCTGATCCTTGAAACAAATGTTGGTCCGGTCGCCTAATAGATAAAATTTACATTTAACTTTAATTCATAAATCAATAATAACTATAAATTATGTCTCTTACCTTAAACGTAGTCATTTGCTTCAAGAATGCAAAAGGGCTCATTTGTAATATCCCTCTGCCAACCACTTTTCTAGCATCATCTTCCTCCTCTTCTTGACTAACATTAACTTCATCCAAATCTTCATCTTCATGCTCTTCGCGTAAATATACTGTAACATATAAACTTGTAGATTGTTCCCACGCGTCTCTCAATTTGCCATTCTTGACTAACTTGTATCCTTTGAACCGATATTTTGTTCCATCAGTAGCGCATAAATTCAAATTATACATCATTCTATTAGAATCGACTTTATCAGTATCTGGGATGAACAAACGGAATTTTCCACGTGTTACAAGCAATGGATCTGGGGATAAAGCTCGACACGATACTGTGCCAGTAATCAATGCTGAATGATCATCCATGTCAACTATTGTCTCTGCGCTATAAGCAATGACCGTCAATAAAAATTGCATTGTCGAATTTGCAGATCTTGCTTGTACTAAAAAAAAGAAAAAAAAATATATATGTATATATATATACGATTTTTTTTTAAAAAAAAAAAAATAAAACAAAAAAAAAAAAATATTCTTACATTCAGCAGTGGCATAATCTGTTGATAAAATTTCGGTCGAAAAATAACCTTTCATGACTTCTGTGAAACATATCCCACCGTCCAACTCGTGGCATTTTCTCTGTCTTTTTATTAAATCACGTTCATTTTGTTCATAAGATTTCAACGGATGGTTAAAATCAATTGGTTTATTAACAAGATCATAATCAATTGTCCATCCACGATCTTTTGCTGCATATTCACAAATTCGTTCGGAAAATGCACTAATCGTAAAAAATGGATTGACTCCAAGAGCAGTTGGTATGACTGCACCATCACATACGTAAAGTCCTTCATGAACATCATTGCTTTCCCCGATAAATACCTGGCCTTTGTGATTTACAACTCCAGATTTTCCATCTTTGCCCATACCACAACCTCCAATTGGATGAACCGTAACCATTCCCCTTCCAAAAAATTTCGACCACAACGGAGATGGTATATAAGTTCCATTCGCCAGAGTTGTAGCGTCTTCTAAAACCTTATTCAATTCCATCACAGTATCCGAAGTACCTACACCTTTATACTCCATGTTCAATCGATCATTGACTAATTCTAATTGACCCGTGTTATCATCGTGTGACATAATCAAGTACGTTTGAGTATGTGATATGGCGCCAGTATAAAACCCTCCAATTGCTGACCTAATTTGTCTCCATCTTCTGTTAAAAGATTGCGAGTATGTAAGATTTTTCGGCTTGGAACCGACCAGGGTACTTCCTGATTTGAGGAAAATTTGGAAAGCCTTGCCAACAGCGAGAGGAACAGCACCCTCTTCAATCACATATCCCTTGAGTACATTTTCAGCATCACGGCGCATATCAATGATACCGGTAATGCACGGGCCAACCGGAGCATCCAGACCGGACGCAACATGATCTCCCGAACCAACACCATTAACAAAATGATCCATGTTATAACCAAATCCAAGTATCTAATAATCGAATATAATATATATAAATATAGTGAAGATTCTGTGGTGGAGAATTTTAATAATCTATAACAACTCACGTCACCATTTCCACTAAATCCTTTCCCTAAACGATCGCCAACTTTTAGACCATACGATCTTGATCGTAATAGGATCTCATTCGAACCAAGCGTGCCAGCACCGAGGAACACCACATCAGCGATAACAAAGTAAGGACAGAAACGACTTTCTTCCTTAAATTTTGTGCGATTGTCCTTTAAAGTAAAGATGAATTAACAAAAATAACAAAATGGAGTTTTGGATTTAACGTTTAACAGATCATTAACTTACATCTAACCACTCGTAAAATATAATATACCTATTGGTTTTATCACATTTTTTAATTCTCTGTACACTACATTCACAAAATATTTCACATCCATGATTCCATGCGTCGGGTATGTAATTCATTAGGGTACTATTTTTACTACCATCATTAATTCCTGTACAGTCATTTCCGGTTAATGTTGACGCTTGTTGACGTACTCCTGCAGCATTGACGCGATTTTCAAATGTAACAGTGATAGGCGCTCTCGAGAAATTTTTATGATATTTATCTCCCAATAATCTCGCTTGTTCTTCTAAGGTTTTTAATTTGGGTAATTCAGGAAAGTTTGAAGGGTAACTAACCGGTTGGAGCATTTCTCTAGCTCTTTCATAACCTAAAATAAATAACGTAAATATAAGGTTTGTACAAAATACATCAACGACACACAATTTTATTTATGTACCTCTTTTTAAACTTTCGTGGTCATTCCTGATTTCATTTGGCCAAACGGACATCTTCCAAACACGATCGTCGGCTTCAAGAGCTACATTTGCGTTAATAAGGGAAGTACCCCCGAGGCTAAATTTGAAAGATTAAGATTTTAGATCGGAGTTACTGCGGAATAAATAATTTGATGATCGATCTAGACGAGTACTTACCCACAAGCTACCACAGCATCTTGATTACTCCCATTATAAAATTGATATAATCCAGTTTTATTACCGGTATGTATCTTTGGTGAACTATATTGAACTTCTTTCATGCAATCTCTTAATTTAGTTGGAAATTCTCCAGGCCACCTTTCTTTTCCTGGTTTAGTTATTAATTAAAATTGAAGGAAGGAAATGTAAGGTTATTTTTTTTTTTTTTTAATTATTCAATATTTTAATTAATGTAAAAGCCAACCTTTTTCTAGCAAGGCAACGCGTTTGCCAGCTCTTGACATTCGTGAAGCTGCAATGGCACCGCCATAACCTGACCCGATAACCACCACATCGTAGTGTGATCTCATTTGAGGTACAGGTAATGATATGCGAGGATATTCCGAATGTTCTTCAGCCATATTTTCTTAATCGTCTGTTTGTTCAAAGTTTTTTTTAAAAAAAAAAAAAAGAAAAGAAAAAAAGGTTTAATTTATGAAAAAAAAAATTTGGTTACAATCATCTTATAATGTATGTATGTTTTGATATTTGTTTTCAAACAAGGAAATTGATTTGACTTTCTCAAATGGACAGCTAAAAAAAAAAACCAAAGCGACCAATAATCGACTTTGTACAACAAATAATTTACGGGATAAAGGCAACTCTAAATTCGGAATGCAGATTCCAAACGTTGTCTTTGTTGTCCCTTTGTTACAAAAAATGTCATCTGATTGGTTAAAATCTTAAGATTATTCTTGTGGAAGGAATTGAAATTCCTATAATTCCTATTAATTCCTATTAATAATTCCGATATTAATTCCGATACAATATGTTTTTGGAATAAATTAATAAATTAGTGGATTGATTTGAGCTATGGATTGTAGATCATAAAGGACAAAACTAAAAATATGTTTTTGTTGATTGTTTTGAACTATGGATTTTGCTTAATCTGTATATCAAAAAGACAAATGAAAAACCAAAACATCTTTGTCTCGAGTGTTGCAGCACTTTGAAGTAATATTGCCTGTCGCCTTTTCTGGTCAAAATTTCCAGTTAATGCTAAATACTGTATTAAATTGGATTACCATACAAAATCAATTTTAAATTTGTATACAATATATTTATTTCAGTCATTATTAGTTAGTAATCTTCTTTTTCTCAAACGCGAGAGGAATTCTTTATCATTATAATTATAATTTAATGCTACGCCACTTCAATTGGCTTTTTTTGATAACTTTGACGGCTTTTCGGCATCATGGCTGAGGGAATGTACGGTATAAGGATTTCATGAGTAAAATGAGTAACTTTTTACCCTTGTTGATCATCAAAACATTTTAGAGGAAAAAGTTTTGGTTTGGGATGAAACAATTAATTGAGTTTTGCCTAAAAAATTTTTTTTTAACTATAATAGTCAAGACTGTTTGTTAGACTTTTCGTCGGATGTAACACGGGTAACCTCAAACCTTTTGCCCACCTGATTTGCCGTATCAATCAAGTTTCGTGGCTTACAGATTGTTCGCCATCTCGCCACCATTATTATCTATTACCAAATAAACAAAATATAATCCATACAAAATATAATGAAGGATTTTCAATCTTTTTTTCTTCAACCGATTACAAATACGAGAGGCTTTTGAGAACAACATGATATCTATTTTCAGAAGGGTATTTCATAGCAAATTTCCATGTGAAACCTCTTGGATCAGTAATATTTAGTAAAATAATGAATTTGTTTACAATTTTTTATAAGGTTGAATATATTAAAAACGTCTTGTTAATTTTATCGACGTGAAAATATTATATCACGTGTCAGATCAAAACTGCGAAAACGGAACGGCGTTAAAATTTTGGATCAATTTTCAGATAAAATAATAAAAAAAAATATAAATATTTTCTTTTAATCCTTTTTGCAAAGCCACCATATCGTGAATTTATCTAAGCCATATTCATATTAAAAAATACCGGTTTCGCTTTCGGATAGATAATTTAATGATTCGATAAGCCCCAATGCTGTCAAAAAAAAAAAAGGAATTTTTTTTTTCATAAAGATTTCCTTTTCCCTGCTTCCTTTCAATAAATGTAACATATCCTTTTTTTTTTCGCGAAAAAAAAGAAAAAGAAAAATGATTGATTGCTGTTGTTGTTGGTAAGTATTTATATAAGTAATGATCCGTTAAGGTTGCATTAGGGATTTGTCACGTGCTATGTATAATCAAATTGTGTTTTACAAAGTATCCCGGTTCGAATAGGTGCTATTATCCTCGCTACAATCAGTTTGGTAAATTTCGGGGGGGGGTGTTTATTTTTTTCAATCTCAAGGATGTGCAGATACCATTTATTAAAGGCATAAATAATATATTCTTATCACTTAGATCATTTCAATATTTGGAGCTGTCGCTTATCTAGGAAGACCCGAAGGTATTTGCTTTATGCTTTTTTATGCGTTAAAACGATATCGAGTACGATGATTAAATTACGATCAATATGATGTAATTAGATGTCTCGGCTGGAATGCCCCACGGTCTTACCACATTTTTTGGTGTCTTATTCATTATTATGGCATTAATTTCCATATTTGGAATCATCGGATCACTTTTCGTAAGTAGAAGAGAAAATTTTAAATGTATGATTGAAAATAAACAAAATATATAATTTTTTTTTTTTTTTAAAAAAATAAATAAATAGAATTCTTCCGGAGGAATTCTCATTTTCGAATATATGTTATGGGGAATCGTTGTTGTATACGTTGTTATTTCAGCGGTTACCATTTACAATTTATTTAATAATAAACAGATAGCGGTTGATAGATGTATAGTAGAGCTTCATGGAAAGACAAGTCAAGCATTAGAAGACATCGATCAAGCTAATGCAGATAAAGTCATTATAAGTGATTTAACGAATGCTGCTACAGGTGCTGCCAATGGTGCAATTAATGGAGAAATACCTAAATTGTGTGAACATCGGGAACAAATTCGCATTTGGGTTAAAGTTATAACCGCTTTACTATTATTATTATTTGGGGTAAGCAAATATTTATTTTGAATCTGCTTTTTGAAAATTTAATATGAGAATTGATTATTCCTTTATCTTTTTTCCCCCTCCTTTCAAAAAATTATTAAAGGCTTATTTCGTCGGCGTTGTTTCTCGTTTTGCTGATCAGATTAAACCCGTAAAATACCAAGGTCATAGGAAACGTAATATCCCTAATACGCACCTTTCTGCCGCATCTTTATCTACTACGAAAGTAGGTTGAAAAACCGCATCCTACTATTCTTTTTTGGATCAGTAATTCATTACTAGGACGCAAAAAAAAAAAATTGTACATAGTGAGTGTTCTTTTAATACATTTATTTAGACCTTATTATATTTTAATAGTTTTCTTTAGAATTTAATTTCATATCTTGGTATATAAAATTACGATAAATCACACTTGAAAAGGTGGAAATTGTTTCTTTTCGAAATGTTCCCGCCAGTAAAAAACAACGATGTGCGTATATCCTATATGCTCAATGCACGATTTACGATTTAAGATTCTATTTCATCATGACAATAAATATTGTTCTTTCGATCGAGACTAGTTGTTTTTTTTTTTTTTTAATAATTTTCGATACATTGTTATTTTGGCAATCGGTAAATCCGGGCTGAAATTACAAAGATCACGCTCGCGTGATATAAAAAATCCTCCAAAAAAAATCACGATCGAAAATATTATATTAAATAATCCTTTCCAAACGTTGGAACCAATAATAATATTTTTTCTTTTTCCTCAAAAAAAAAGTTATGCATCGGAAATTAGAAGGTAAATTTTATTTACAATTTAATCTTAAATAAATTAATGTTTTTGTTTATGATACATTTGATGCATCGTTTTCCTATTTTTTCTTCGTAATTACAACTGTACATCCAGCAGAATGAAGGCAATGTTGAGATACCATTCCTATTTTATTAACATTTCGCAAAGAAGTTCCTCGATGTCCCATCACTATTACATCAACTTTTTGTTTTTTTGAAAAATCAACAATATATCTTGCAGGATCAGAACTAGAATTTACGAAGCATTCCACATTTAAAGATGGTATCTAATTAAAATAAATAAACAACAAATATGCAAAGTAAATTTTTGAAGTATATCATTTATGTCGTGATCACATTTTATGCGTGAGATGGATAAATAAATAAACTTGATGAAATCCCATTCTAAAAATAATCATGTCTCTTGCAAACCTCATTTTGTCCTCGTTCCTGTGTGGCAAAAAAATTTGTGATGAGCTTTTTACCATTATTTACAACTTCCCTCGCATATTCTTCGGCCTAAAGAGGAAAAATAAAAAATTTTTTTTTAAAAAAAAAAAGGTGATCAAAAATAATCAATCCTTTTTTTATTATTATTATTATTATAAAAATAAGAACCTTTTGACGTTCTTTTGCTACATCACTTCCATATAATATATTTCCTGTTAAATCAAAAGAAATCAAATAAGGAGATTTTTTTGAGTGTGATGATGAAATAATAAATGTACTTACGAGTTACGGCGGAATATTCGCATGGAGTACCGGCAGGTAATACACCTACGCTTAGCAGTAATAAAATATCGTTTTGCGGATCAACCAAGTTTTCAAGAGCCCACAATAAAGAATATTCAGAGTGATCAGAACCGTCTGTGTAAAAAAAATATATATATATATATTCGTAGTTAATTTATCTTTAACGAATTGGATATGAACTTGAATAACTCCCTCTACCTAACGTTATTAAATATTTCTTTCTCATAACTTTCTATTTCTCAAGTAAAGCAAAAAGTAAATAATAAACACAGAAACAGGGGGAAGGGAGTAAGGTAAAATTTGTGTAAATTATTTTGCAATTTTACGAATATCATGCATCCCCAACATTCCTCCGGCATCACTTGATCCCTATATAAGCAATTTCTGTTAGTGTTAGGGTGATTATAAATTTGTGACAAGAACGAATTTACAATGACGTTGATCATCACGACCATTTTCGTTCCAGTTGAAATTTTATTTCTCACGCAAACTATTTAAGATGGAAAAAGTGTGTTTTTGAAACGTTCTTTAACCCGTTGGCGCAGACAGATCACGTGGCTCTAACTATATATCGAAACAACTTTCATGTCTCACATGTTTGTGTTTGGATTTTTTTAAGGAACGTTTCACTATTTATTCTATATAAAAATTAATTGGTCTTCGTTAAAAAAAAAAAATTTGATTATTTAACCAACAAGATCAAAAGTTGTAATAAAAAAATTTGTTTTTTACATCATTAATTGTTGTATAGGAACTAAAAATCCTTATTATTCATAAGTGATATATGCATTGGTGCAGATTCAACAAAAGGTGTGGAACGATACGCGAAAAATAATAATAAATAATAATAAAAAAAAAAAAAAAAAAAAAAATTTGAGCCAAAATAAATAAAAATAATCAAATTTTTCATTTACGCGAAAAATTCAAATTGAACATTGTTCGATGTATTGATTCTGTATTGTTTCAGCCCGAATACTTCTTATAAAACTTTTGTCCATTTAATTTTAATCCTTCATTACCAAATTTAGCCATCTCAGATTATATTAATTTCACTAAAGTTTGACGTGTTGATTCCTTTCCGCCTTATTCCCCTCTCTCAAAATATAGAAAGTGAAGTTTTGGCAGCGCCAAACTCACAAAGAAAAAAGATTTACATATACATATTTAGAAAACGTTGAGCGTTCCTTAGAAAGTACGTTCTCAAAATAAGCGGCGATAGAAAATCAAATAGAAAAACAGAAACTCTTTTAAATGTGTTTTTTTTTTCCGTGGAGTTATCCAAAAATAATTTATTTTCGTATATAAAAAGCTGGTTAAAAAGTGCCCGATTTAAAAAAGACAAATGGGTCACACTTTGGCACGAGTAACTGTGTTTTTCGTCTCAGCCTCTTTCCTGGTAAGTTATAACTCACGCACGTAACCGACTACCTTCGACTTACGAATTTGTATTAACAAAATTCGGTATATATATTAAACTATATAGCTGTATTCATTATTTGTCGCAACAGTTACTTTTCTCAAACTAAATTGTAAGTGGGACTCGGTTTTTTTATTAAAAAAAAAAAAATTATGAAACGCACTTTGTATATTGATATCGATCATATTTGAAATCCTTTTCCTTTAGTTACGGTATCTCATATTAGCGAACCGCTCCGAATAGGATACGGTGTAATTTTAGTGATTCTAGCTCCCTCCGGATTATGGGGAATTATTGGATCTACTCAGGTATATATATATTAATATTTACTTCCACATTTGGAGGAAATGATCTTCATTCATGTAAATTAAACAAATTACTCAAATTATAATTTAGAATAATTCGGATTTATGTGACCGATATTTAAGGGAACATTGGTTTTCTAGTGGAGTTTTTACTATAATTGATGGAATAAAAGTCGCACTTTCTTTTACGATGAAAATTGATTCGATAAATGCATGTGTAACACCAACCGATTCCTCTCAAGATGCAATTGATGGATGTCGTAGAAAGGTTGATTTTAATCAAATAGCGAGTTTAATCATCTTCGGGGCGCAAGAATATTTTTTGGTAACGACATGCGTCATTTTATCAATTAATATCTATCTACCATTTTATTTGCATCATTAAAATAATTCTGTCTTTATTGTAGATTTTTCTTGGTATTCTTGTATGGTACAGTTGTAAACGTATTAAACGCATTACAAAAAAAATAAATGAAAAGGGCAAGGAAGAGGCATTAGAGCGACTTGATTTAAGCGAAGTCATTCCAGATGAATCAAATGTTGCTTCAATGAACGCTTACGATCTTAGAGAACAAAGACAAAACCTCCCATTAGATAGAATAAATGATCAACCGACTTCAACGCACGTACCTCGTCGTCCATCACAATATAATAAAGGACGAAATGATCGACAAACGATCCAAATCAAACCTGAACCTATGCCAAATGTCTTAAGGTCCCGTGAATTTCAAGGTGATAATTATGATGATAATAATAATGTGCAAGGAATGAGGAGATATGATCAAAAAATTACAGCGCCACCACGTCCTCGAAAATCATACAATCGGCAAAATACGACGTCTATTGAATTACAACGAGAATTATCAGCTTCTCAAAGCATGAATTCAATGGCTACGACAGGTCGTTCAAAAAGTATGAGAATGGCAGCTCCCCTTGCTCGTTCGAATAATAACGTGTTACATCCACAATTTCAACCTATGCAACAAATAAAATATCCGCAAGGAGCTCGAAATAAAGTTCCTCCTGCACCATATTTTAGTAGAACACCCTTACCACAATTTCAAGCACCACCAAATTTTCAACCTCCACATCCATGGCAACAACAATGGCAACAGCAGCAACAAAATAATAATAACCGACAGGGGGTTAATGATGGACCAGATCCACCTGAAGGAACTCCCTTCCGCACACACAGACGTTCAAGGAGTCATCCTCAACTTCGTCCACTTCCGGATCCCCCAACTTCAGATAATTTTACAGTTCAACCAGATCATTCTGTCCCTCCTCAAATTCATCAACAGCAAGCACCGCCACCACAAATAATTGAAAATGAACCAATTGATGAATCAAAAGATGCTAGTGATAATTCACAAAAGATGTCTAAAGCTGCAAATAGATTATCAAATTCATCACGATATAAACCATCTTTATCGCCCGTATTTGAAAATAGGAGTCCGAAGCATTCATCACTTTTGAATCGTTCCAATTCGCTACCAAATTTAAATGACCCTGAAGATTTAATGAGAAATGAATCGACCTTAGCTCCACCTGTACCATTAATTCCAGCAGGCTTATATCCTGATAATAATAAGTCAAAGGTATCTAAATCACAACCATCAAAGATAAATCTAAGCAGTGCTGATAAGCTCGCAAGGTTTATTGATGCATATGGTAATAAGGATTATAATAGGAAACCGGAAAACCTTCAATACAATTATTCAGATAATCATAATGGTTGGAACACGCATGAAAATGATGATTATGTTTTCGATCATAGAAGACCAAAATCGGCTCATTCAGTAGGTGGTGAAGCTCGTCCTAAATCTTCGGTTTCTTCAATATTTGGTGAAGATAGCTATTATAGTAATCATTATTATTATGAACCATCATCAAATTACGAAAATCAAGGAGCGATGAATAATCAAACTTATCATCAAAATTTAGGTCCAATAACACCCGCAGAATATAATAATGGAGGAAAGTTTGTTCAAAAGTATCCAACTGAAGGAGACAATTATAATCGACAGGGATCACAAAAAAACTATTATTATTAAAAAAAAAAATCATAAAAACTATATGAAAGACTTTTAGAAAAAAAAAATATTTAACTTTTTTTATGATAGAATTCCTTCTTATTAGTCAAAAAAGTAAATAATGTTATTATATATTTTTTACACTTTCTTTCCTTTATTTATCAGAATAATTCGCTTTATTACATATACAAACCTTTATGTATCATAATTTGTTTAAATAATTTCTCGTTTTGTATTTATATTTGTTTTTTTTTTTGTTTTTTTTTTGGAAATTATTAGCGTAAGAGATTTTTTAATTTTTTTGTTATACATCATAAAACTAGAATATGTATTGGGACTTTGATAATATCTAAAATTTGAATTTCTGTCAGGTGATGAAATTCTTTTCTCGAGAAAATATTATTATATTTACATTAATCTTCGAAATTGATTTGATCCTCAAGCCAAGCTATATTCACATTATCAAATTGAGATTTTGCGATTGGTCCAGCGACTCAAACAAGTTCGTCTGTTGCACTCAGGAACTCTCATTGCCGTTCCCGTATGAAATATTATTTCCAATATTTTATTAATAATTTTGATTCATGTAACAAACTATTTCGACCATTTCGACTTTAGGCTTTCAAATATTAACGACTGTTAAGGAAAAAGCCTTTGATATTTCAATCATTTCGGAAGACTTCGTTAATAGAACAACCCGACTAGCAAAAATCGAAGCAAACAATAGAATGCTTTGCTCCACTAATTATAGCTATCCAATAAGAGATCTCGAGAAAAGAATGACAACCTTGAAATATTTGGTTATTTTTCTTTATATTACTTAACTTGATTAAGGTATAATATGTAAAATAAAGTTCTAATATAACCATTATATAAGTATCAGATATATTTATATTTAATACAATTCAATATTTTTAATAAAATAATTTGTAATTTTTTTATTATATAAATTTTTATAATATAATGCTTTTAAGAATGTACTTTAATATTAATTATTTATAATACCATTAGATTTATCTATCATTGTTTCTAAAAATAATATTAATAATTATTAAAACTTTCTATTAATAATTTCTCTAATTATTTTATATATTATTAAATAATATGTAGTATATCAAATATATTATTATCAAAGTTTTTAATATCCTTAATTTAGCTTCTAATTTTATATTAATTTAATCAGATAAAACTTTTTTAAATATAATTTATAAATGATAATATTTTGTTTTAATCTAATAATTTAAGATTGTATTTTATAATATACATATTCAAACTTCTATTATATTATTAATTACTTTTAATAAATTTAATTTATTTTTAAAAAATAAATATATGGGAGGGTTTCTAGAAAAATCAGGTTCCAAGAAATTTTTGACTAAAATTAAGAGCTTAATACATTTTAATCTAATAACATCAAAAACTAAAATGCAATAAAAATCTCAATTTTGCTAAAAAATTCCCAGAACCTGATTTTCCTAACAATCAACCCATATATTAAAAAAAAAACTTTATTTTTTACTTTTTTATATTTTCATTATTATGATATTATTTTATTAAATATTAACAATAATTTTATTTATATTTAACCATTTATTTAAAAATAATCAATAATAAAATTATACTTATATTTAATAATATTAATGTGTAATCTTTATAAATTATGATATTTAAGAATTTACTTTTTAAAGTTTATATAATAAATTAATACTTATATAAGTACTTTATAATAAAAAAAAGAAAAAACTATCAAATAAAAAATTTAAATATATGTTTTTAATAAATAAGTTTAGATTTAATATTAATTCAAAAAAAATTTTTTAAAGTTTCTTTTCTATTATAAAATATTTATATTTATATCATAAACTATTATCAAAACATTTTTATGATAAATTTTAAATATTTTTTATTAAAATATATATAGAATATAATTAAAATAAAAATAATAAAATAACTATTTTAAAGTAAGAAGCATTTAGTTAACTAACTATATTTAATATGTTAAACAAGTAGGATATCATATATGATATAATTATATCATATGTAATATTCTACTTACCCTAGATTATAATATCATATATAATCTAAATATCACATATAATTCGAATAACATATATAATCTAAGTATCACACATAATCTAATAATATAATCTAAATACCACATATAATCTAAATAATATAATCTAAATGTCACATTTAATTTAACAATTTTATTTTTCTTATATCTCTTTTACATTCTAGCTATATCTTTATACTGATCAAAATCAAAAAATCAGACATGTGAAAAATCAGCTTAAAATCAGCAAATTATCAAAAAATTAGTCTAGCTAATTAGCATACACCAGAAATTGGTTAAGAATCAGCTAAAATTTGATCTATCTTATTTATAGCTGATTGGTATATATCAAAAATCAACTAAAATTCAACTTATCTTATTTATAGCCAATTAGCATACATCAAAAATTAACTAAAATTTGACCTATCTTATTTATAACCGATTGATGTCTGATTTACATCTGATTGGTATATATCAAAAATTGGCTAAAATTTGACATATCTTATTTATAGCTGGTTTACATCTGATTGGCATACATTAGAAATCAACCAAGAATCAGCTAAAATTCTATCTTATTTATAGCTGATTGATATCTGATATATATCTGATTAATATATATCAAAAATTGACTAAAATTCAACCTATCTTATTATAGCCGATTGGTATATTTGTATATATTAGAAATTGGTCAAGAATTGGCTAAAATTCAATCTATATTATTATAGCTAATTAATGTCTAATTTACATACGATTGATATATATCAAAAATTGATTAAAATATTTCAAAATAAAATAAAATTTGAAAGAAAATATAATTGATATTTAGGATTAACAGCTAAATAATGTTAAAAACATTTAATTTATTTTTACAGATAATATTTTCTATTAATTAGATTAACAGCTAAATATTTTTTTGCATTTCTTCAGGCTGAAATTTGATAGTTAATTAGTACAAATTGACCTAAAATATGATGAATTGGTATTATACAATTATGACTTTTCAGATAAAATTTGGTATCCCATAATTTGATATTACATATTTCTTCTTTGTTAAAATAATACCGCATATTTAGAGAACTTGCAGATTTATACCAATGAATATATGCTAGAAAATATTCAGCCTGTCTAAATGGCAAATTAACCTAATGTATAAAATAATATTAGACTTGGTCAGGATAACAATCGACTGTATTATTATTTATAATAAATTTGGCCAAAATGTACGAATTTTTACATGTCGCAAAGACATTGATAATCCAAAAATTTCAGAACTAATTCAGCACCTTTAAATTGATTTACTTTGACCTGAATCGTTATACTATCTTCTAAATCTTTATTGAATAGCTTCCTAAAATCAAACGTGATATAAGTCATATTGTAGTATTCAACTATCAAATTAAGTATTTCGCTTAAAATAATTATATTATCAGATGATAGTTTAAGAAATTCACCAAGAAATAGTTCACTATCAGTAACATTTGATTCCTTAATATTTTGTGAATTCATTCAAAATCGATAGATTTCATCAGAAGAAAATTCATCTGTATCTGAAAGAAAACTAATTGAAGGCTGATTGTTTAGCAATTCAAGCTCTTTTATCTCAATACTACTAGAACTTGTAATACTGTCAATTTGAATATCAAATATCAATCAACGCATTAGCTCAAATTTGACTTTTCTATTACTATTTGGTAAAGAATCTAAAAATCATTCATAAATTAGTAAGCTGATTTATTCAAAAAAAAAATATCTAATATTTCATTCATACGTTCAAAAGAAAAACATTAAAATAAATATAATAGACCATAGTCTATTAAGCAATTATACAAATAAAGAGAAAAGTGAAGATTTAGCATGATTTTGTTATGCTCGTGATTATTTTCAATCAACTTCATCTTTCAATTAGTCTTCAATGTACTTTATGTAATAAATCTGATTCTACAATATGGCTTACTAAAATTGTACAAATCCTTACAAAATGTGTAAGAATCTTTCTATCTACAATCAGAAGATGTTTCAAAAGTAAAACAGTAGCATATATAGTAAAAAATATTCATTACTGATTGGTCGTAAAATTAGAAAATCCTTCTCCTTTATAAATGTTACCCAGAATTTGACCCAGATCAGAAGAAATCTGAAACTCATTCATCTTTTTTGAATCTTATTCAGGGAATTTGATATCAAAATCCCTTTATTGATCCAAATTTATTTTACTATCCATTGTGTAATAAGCAATGTATTAGATCAATTATGATATATTTTATAAGTTCAAAATATGACAAACATAATAATTTAGACTATCTTACACCACTTTGCTTTACAAATCATTTTCGTAAAATATTCAAATTGCAGCGTCTCCATTCTAATGCATTTCGATGATGCTCAATCCCTATAAAAAATTTGCATACGTTTTTTCATTATTATAAATAAGTTTTGTATACGTTTTTTGAAATTCTATATCA